TGCTTCTTGGACATGTTTAGTGTTTATCTGTGGCCTTAATACTTAATTGAGTATGTGTTTTGTTATTTTTTTATGCTTTCTGATTGCTTCCAGGAAGATGTGATCAGGATGATCAGGATGTGAGCTTTCCTTTTCACTCTTATTGCTTAACTCAGAGTAACTCTCACAGGTGTTGTCTGCCTCTGTGGCATATGGCATGTGGTATTGGTTCTTGCCTGGGTTTTGGTGTTTTATAGAGTGTGATTGTAGCTTGACTACATAGGAGCAGTTGCTGACTCTTCTTGGGTAGTATAGGGAGAGAAAGAGGCCACCAACGGTAGAAGGGGGAGCATAAAACAGCAAAACAGCACCAGCAAAAAGAGAGAGAGAGAGAAAACAACAACAACAAAAACTAGACTGAATACTATAGTCTATAATCACAAAAAAGGGAGAGGAGGGAGAGAAGAAAAAAAAAATCTGTAACCTAATATGCATATGACTTTAATGTCCTCTCTTCAGCTTCTTGCTTTCAAAGCTGCCTGAGAGATTTCAAGATGCCACAGTTGATTGTTATGCTATACCTCAGGCTTTAATTTAATTTTTGGCTTGTTTTATTTTTAAACTCTCTTTCCCTCTCTACAGCCCTGTCCTGCCCTTTCCCATAGTTAAAACAAAAAAAGTCCAGGGCCTGTTCTTGGGCTGAGTATCTCTGCACATGGGTGACAAAAGAATCCACCATTAGTGAGGGTGGGAGGTGTCCACTCGCTCATGCTCCCCCTCTAGTTACCAGAATGGAGGTGCACAAACAGTGGGGGTGCCAATAACCAGATACCAAAACTTTTTTTAAAAGATCTCATCCAAGATGTCAGCTCCAGGCCTCCGAGCCCGGCAGATTCAAAAGTACATGATTTCTTACTTCAGCTTCAAGTTCCAGTACTTATAAGCCTTCAAACTTTAAAAAATATTCCTAGCTCTGTGGTTCCGAGTTTTGGAGCTCTGCCCTGGATCTGCTTTGCCTGGTATTCTGTGGTATGGCTGATGGTGAACTTCACTGCACCTCCACCCTAGCTGCTACCAAGCCCCGCCTCCCCCATATTTTCTTGAAGATAAATTTTGCAAGTGGAATTTCTGAATCCATTAATATTTGTATAATTTCAAGACATTTTGAATAATGATCACGGACCCTTCTATTCTGTTTTGTTGTTGTTGTTTGGATGTACACAAAAACACTCAGGAATATATAATCATTTAAACAACCAAAAGGCACATTCTGTAAGCATGCCTCCTGGCCACCAGCACACGGCCTCTGTCTTTCCATGAGTTTAGAGTCCTCAGCTGCTCCCTCTCTCCATATCCTCATCTCTGCCTCCATCTCTGGTATCGCTGCTTCTCTGGATAGGGTCCCACATTCTGCTTGTGTTCTTCTCCCTAGATGGTCCTAGGAGCCTCCATTTCTGTACTACAAGATTAACTACTCCCCTGTTTTTGTTACAAAACTTCAACCTTTACAGTTGTGACAGTTGCAATTAGTCATGATAATGATTCTCACTATTGAATCATAAAGATCTTATCCCTATTTCTTTTTACCAGACCCATCTAGACAAGATGCAAACTACTCAGTGGGGACTCTACCTCCCCCGCAACACTCTTAAACTGAACTCCCTCTTGAAAACTTGTAAGCCAGTCACTTCATGCCTTTATTGCACCTTCATTTTAGGTAGCCAGTGTCTTAGTTTCCCATCCGTATCTACCCTGTATACAGAGGGGATTGGATTGATATTTGATGTGAAGGCTCCTTCCCTCTCAATTGGTATTTTGAGCTACTGCATCCCTAAGTATAGGTCAAGTTCATCAAGTTGTAGGAATTTACCCTCGTTTCCTTTATCAAAAATTGTTTATCTTCCTGTAGTTGAGTTCTGATTATCAAGCCATTGAGGCTAGGTCAAATGGGTTTTATCTGCAAGTTTGGGTGTTCTTGTGCATCTCTCCTCTCACTTCATATCAGCTGGATGCTTAAGGAGTCTTTTGGATATGGTGTTTGATTAAAATAAATAAAAATAGTGAAACCACATCTTTAGAGATGAGTTCCTGTGCTCCCCTCAGATACATAACTGTGCCCAGGCTGAAGGGGACTGGCCACCTCTGATCTGAAACAATGGAATCAGGCTGAATGGCTAGAGCCTTCTTGAAAGCACATACTTTTTCTTATAATAAATTGAAGTTCCCAGTATAGTTGTGTGCAGTGCAGTGAATTCTCATGTTATCAGAATTCTATCCAGTCTTTGTAACTCTCACCAAACTACTCTTTCCTTATGGGTCTGGGTGGAGGGGAAAGAGAAGGGCAAGAAGCCCTTGTGGCTCAATGGTTAAAGCATTTGGCCTCTAACCAAAAGATCAGTGTTTCAAACCCTCCAGCTGCTCCTTAGAAGAAAGATGTAGGAATCTGCTTCCATCAGGGTTGCAGCCTGTCCCCTAGAGTCACTGTGAACTGGACTAGACTCAACCATAGTGGGTTTGAGCTTTGGTTTTAGTCGACAAGGGGCCCAAGAATCTGAATTTCTAACAGACTTGCAGATGATGCCCATACTGCTGGTGGTGATGGTCCAGCACATTTTGAATGACAAGACACTAGTAGATGGTTCAAACTGCATTAATGAGTCATTATAAGAGCTTTGGTAGCATGTTGTTGTCAATTGCCGTTGAGTTGATTCCAACCCATAACGACCCTGTATAGGGTTTCCAAGGAGCAGTTGGTAAGCTTGAACCACTGACCATGCAGTTCAAACGGCTTTTGCAGTCTGACGCATTAACCCACAGCGCCACACCAGGACTCCAGGTAGTGTAGTAGTTATGAATTGAGCTGCTAATCTCACAGTTAGCAGTTCAAAATTATCAGCTGTTCCAGGGGAGAAAGATTAGGCTTTCTGCTCCCATAAAGATTTATAGCCTCGGAAACCCTGTACAGGGTCGCTATGAGTTGGAACCGACTCCACGGCACATAACAACAACAACAACAATAAGGATCATCTCTTCTGTCTGTCCCTTCTAGTCAGTGGAAATGTTAAGAGGCCTTCTCAGATTTTCTCTCCTGCCCTATCAGAAAGCCAGGTTTGCCAGAATTTAATAAAATTCTGAGATTTGAGCGTAAGATTCAGGCAAGGCAATGTGCTCTTTAGCTCGTGTGTTAGAGTTTTTTAGCGTGACTTAGGACCAACGTGATAGGTAGTTACCAATAACTTGTTGCTTTACTTTTCATCTGTGCCTCTGGGTTAGGCATTGGGTAGCTAAGAATAAGTCCAGTATAACTCCCAGCATAACTCCACCATTTCCCCCTAAATCCCTGCCTATTCCCAGAACTATAATGAATAAAACATGAGACCCTTTCCTGCCTAAAACCCTTTTTATTATTATTAAGTGCTGTGGAGTCCATCCCCACTCATAGTGACCTGGTATAGGGTTTCCGAGGAGTGGCTGATGAGTGTTTATCCTACAGTTTCCGAGGAGTAGCAGTCTAGTGTTTATCCTACGGCACCACACCAAGACTCCAAAAGCCCCAGCATAACCCCTGTGGGGGAAACAGAGGCTAGCATTGCTTAGTCCCACTCTTCCCACTGGCTAGTTCTTGGCTATTTTCACTTTCAATAAACCTTTGTTTGTGTGGAACCTCTGAGCCTCTCCTGGTCATTCTTGGTCAATAGAAGGCACGAATCAAAATCAGGGCCCAGCACCAAATCGAGGAGCTCTGTCCTGTGGCAGTAGCTTAGAATGGGCTGTAGTGGATATACTTTCCCCACAGAAGTTGGTACCTGCTATTTCTCAGGCTCTTACTGTTTGCCCTGGCTAAGTCAGTGTACTGTTGACTAGCACACAATCGGGTAACCCTATCCCCAGTCTCAGGGGGGAAATTATCATTGATCTAAGTCAGACAAGATCACTTCATTTCTTTCCCTTAGGAATATGGTCTAATTCTGGCTGTTGTTGTTGTTGTGAAGTGCCATCGAGTCGATTCCAACCCATAGCAACCCTGTATAGGGTTTCCAAGGAGCAGCTGATGAGGAGCTTGAACCACCGACCTTGCAGTTCAAATAACTTTACAGTCTGACACACTAGCCCACAGCATCAGACTTGGAATTCTTCTGCTCAAGGATTTATGAGAAAGTTGGTTTTTTAAAATTCTAAAACAGAGACACAGGAGTCCTGGTGTGGTGCTATAGGATAAGCAATCAACTGCAAGGTCAGTTTGAACTTCAAGGTCGGTGGTTCAAACCCACCAGTCTCTCTTTGGAAAGCCTATACAGGGTTGCTATGAGTCGGAACTGGCTCAAAGGCACTTAACAACAACAATAACAAAAAGGAGACTCAGAGTAAAGACAGGCTGTTTCTGTTTCTGGATCACATGGTGTCTGGATTTGGACTTAACAAAACTATTTTATAACCATGTTAAAAGGAGCTCTGGTAGCGTAGTGGTTACGAATTGGGCTGCGAACCTTAAGGTCAGCAGTTCGAAACTACCAGCTGTTCTGTGGGAGAAAGATGAGGCTTTCTACTCCCGTAAAGATTTACAGCTTTGGAAACCCTGTACAGGGTCGCTATGGGTCAGAACTGACTCGACGGCACTTAACAACAACAACCATGTTAAGGCAGGATGCAAATGTTTACATTCATATTTCATACATATTTTGGCTTTGTTCTTTACAATTTTTTTTGGACCTCATGTTCAGAAGAAAAATTAACATGCATTTTTTTTTTTCACTTTCTCTTCTAGAGGAGACCCCGATAGATGTGATATCTGGGGGAACACTCCGCTGCACTATGCAGCTTCCAATGGTCATGCCCACTGTGTCTCATTCCTGGTCAACTTTGGGGCCAACATCTTTGCCCTTGACAATGACATGCAGTCTCCACTGGATGCTGCTGCCAGCAGGGAACAGAATCAATGTGTTGCTCTCCTGGATAAGGCTGCCACTACCCAGAACATCATGAACCCCAAGAAGGTCACCAGGCTGAAGGAGCAGGCTCAGAAGAATGCCAGGAGGCAGATCAAAGAATGTGAGAGGCTTCAGGAGAAACACCAAAATAAGATGGCCCGTACATACAGCAAGGAGGAATCTGGGATGCTCTCTTCTTCCAAGGGCACCTTCTCCAAGTCATCCGTTTCAAGTGCTTCTGCCTCCAGTACATTTGGGTCATTGTCAAAGGGCATTAAAGACACCTTCAAGTTAAAGTTCAAGACAAAGAACAAAGATACAGCAGAAAAGGGGGGTGAGGAGGCCAGAAGTGGACAGAGGAATGTAATGGAAGTATTCAGAGAGGAAGAGGAATACTCATTCTCAGAGGACTTTAAAGATAAGCTCCAGTTTGCAGCAGATGAAGACAAGAGTAGGCAACACGAATCCATTCTCAACCGTCCAGGTCTAGGAAATATTGTTTTTAGGAGGAACACAATGCTGAGTCCTGAAGACACCTCAGACAGCAAGAGTGAGTTGCAGCTTAAAATGCCCAGTGAATTGTTTCAGAGACAAGGAACAGCAGAGATTGATGAACCTGAGACTGATGAAGAGCTAGAGGAAAATGGCCATAATGCGGATCTGCCTTGGGATAAGGATGAATTGGAGTGGGAGGAAGATGTAGCTGATGCTACTCCCCTAGAAGTGTTCTTGCAGTCCCACCACCTGGAAGAGTTCCTTCCCATTTTCATGAGAGAGCAGATTGATCTAGAAGCTCTGTTGCTGTGCTCTGATGAGGACCTTCAGAGCATACAAATGCAGCTGGGTCCCAGGAAGAAAGTTCTTAATATCATAGAGAGGAGGAAGCAGGTGCTACAGCATCCTGGGCAGTTGGTAGACACCAAACTCTGATGGGGACTGTTGGGCCAACAGAGGTGAGCCTCCAGCAGTGGGGAAATGGTGTTGTCCACTGGAAGCCTACTTAAGTCCCTGCTTTTTACCTAATACCAGGCCACTGGCAAGAGTCCCTAGGGTTCTAGAGCTGCCTGTTGAAGGAAAAGACTCAACTCTACTCTGAGACATGCTCTCTGCCCATCCAAGTAAGCCACCAGTGAGAAACTCAAGTGCGCCTGGGAACAAGACAGTGGTCTTTTTGTTATCATTACAAATAAAGAAAAGAGCAAATGGATGATGATAAACAAAGAGATGCTTTTTTTTTCTTCTAACTCTGAAATTATAATGAGTTATAATTACTATAGCCTTTTATCCTACTAGCCCGTGAATTACTGTTGTTAATCTGAGGTTCTAACCCCATTCTATCCTCAGCTCTGTGACTGCCTGTCAAGTTAGCTCCAACTCATAGCAACCCTGTATTGGGTTTTCAAGAGCAGTTGGTGGGTTTGAACTGCTGACCTTGTGATTTGCAGTCTGGTACTGATCCTACAGCACCACACCAGAAGCCCGTGACTGCCTGTTGGCGGGGATTGATGTTCCTCCAGTGGCCTGAGACTTGGTGTCCAACTTAAATGCATCTGTTTATATGTTTATGAGTAGTAGACATGGGTCTATAATACCCCTACCTGAGAACAGGGACAGAATGTAAGATATAGGGAATTAAGAGAGAAATAAAACATAGGGTACCTAAACAAGAGGGTGGGGACAGAAGAAAAAAGGAAACAGAAGAAATAAACTGTGGCCTATTTGATGATTTTTCTAAGGGTAGGCTCCATGCTTAATGTATGGACTGTGCACCACAAGGTCCATGATTAGAGCCCACCAGCCACTTTGTGGGAGAAAGATGAGGCTTTCCTCTCCTTCACAGATTTAAAACCTCAGAAACCCTATATAGGGTCTCTGTGAGTTGGAACCAACTTGACAGCACGTAACAACAACAAACACCTCCTGAAACTTACAAAATGCAAAATAAATGTAGGTTCTTGGCAGGGAAGATTCTATTTCAAAAGTAAATTTTCTATCTTCATGTTCATCATGTATATTTAATCTGTTTACTATTGTCTAGCACCATTGCTGCATATCTGAATACATGTATGTAAATCGGCAACATTGCTACTGACATTCATTGCCACTGAAATTGAAACCCTATTGAATAACTAAGCTTCATTAGATTTTGATAGCTAGACTTCTATCAAGTGGAATTTACCATTAATAGCACTGTGGGTTAATGCGCAGGACTGCAAAGTCAGTTTGAACCACAAGGTTGGCAGTTCAAACTCACCAGTTACTCCTCATAACACTATACAGGGTTGTTATGGGTCAGAACTAACGCAACAGCACTTAACAACAACAACAACATAGAAACAGTTGTTTATCTTCAGCATGCTTTCTGACTCACATCTGTTTGGGCTACTTCAATAGGCACCATGGAGGACATACACTTATGGAGAATACAAAAGCTCAAACCTGATACTACAATTGACTCATTCTTCCTCAATGGATGAATTCAGAACTTTGTCAGTGACTGAATAAATATGTTGCATTCATGGATGATTATGTTTATAAATACTGCATTTTGGTGTTCTGGAATAAACTAAAGTTATACTTGTCTTCAATAATGTACATGAAAGCAGTCAGTACCTAGAAGGATCTCAAAGTCTCTGGTGTATGAATCTAGTAAAAGTACTTCATTATTGCAGATGTTGAGATCTCTTCCTTCACATAGTCCCCCAAATCTGCCTGATAAGAAATTTGTTTCTGAGATTGTTTCTGTAAGGATACAAGAATAGCTGCTTGTTGTAAGTTGCTGTAAAGTCGGCTCTGACTCGTGGCACCCTCGTGTACAACAAAACAGTGTCATCAACCTCATTGGCATGAGTCCATTGAACAATATAGTATTCTGTTGTGCTCCATAGGGTTTTAATTGGCTAATTTTCAGAAATAGATTGCCAGACTTTTCTTCTTAGTTTGTCTTAGCATAAATGCTCTACCAAGATCCGTCCAATACAACCAACAATGGCCATGGCCACTGTGTCTCATTCCTGGTCAACTTCAGCGTCAACATCTTTGCCCTTGACAATGACTTGCAGTCTCCACTGGACACTGCTGCTCTCCGGGATAATGTTGCCACTTACCAGAACATCATGAACCTCAGGACAGTTACCAGGCTGAAGGAGCAGGTTCATATCAATGCCAGGCGGCAGGTCATAAAGTGCCCAATGCAGGTGGCCTTGCTGGTACTTGAAATGCCGGTGACATAGATTTCAGTGTCATAGCGGTATGTAAGCCAGACAGGTGGGTGGTGAATAATCCATATTTATTAGGGAGCATTTCTGTTAACAAAAAGGTGCTCTCCGATGGTGTTTTGTACATCACATCAGAGGTCAAAATAATGCAGAATAATGCATTTTAGCAAACCCGAGGCAGCATGAAAATGTTGGGCTGGAAATGAGCATTGCTGTTTGAGAGACAGAGTATTTTTGTTGTTATGTGCCGGGGAGTCTGTTCTGACTCATAGTACGGGAGCAGAACACCTTGTCTTTCTCCTGCAGAACAGCTGGTAGTTTTGAACTGCTGACCTTGAGGTTGGCAGCCTGATTCATAACCACTACGCTACCAGAGCTCCTCGAGAGACAGGGTAGTGTTATAGAAGGACATGCTTTGTGCGGGGTAAGAAAAGAGAGACCAGCAGAAAGGTCACTAGAGTTCAGGATAATAGGATTGAGTTCTAATGGCTTCCTGGACGCTGGTACGTTTTAGTTAGGATTTTTCACACTGCCCAAATTGGAAAATATGGGAAGGGGAAGGTGCGTTTGTTCAACAGAAATGGAAGCTCCCACCATGACCAGCTCCTTGGTCTTCATCTCAATTTGGTGATGAAAGAAAAGGAAATGAATTTGAAGAACACTTGGATTTTAAAAACCTCACATAAAACGGCACACAAAAATAAAGGACAACTATGGCAAATGCTATAACATACAATTCTGCAACGACAGTAATTAGAACCAGAAATTTCCGAGTGGTTACATTTGTTGCTGTTGTTGTTAAAGTGCCATTGAGTTGGTTCCGACCAATAGTGACCCTGTATAGGGTTTCTGAGGAACAGAGAAGTTATGGGGTGATAAATGTGTGTTGTACTTACACGTAGACCACCATGTTACACACGTCAGCCATATGCTCATAATTCCTAAATCTGAGACACCATAAATCCAGACCATTGCCTGAGCTCCAAATTCCTAAACTGAAATGTTCCCTGGCATCTACCCTTAAACTCATTATGCCTAGAACTCAACCCATCTCCATCCAAACCAGGGTTCCTCAACCAGGGACAATCTTACCCCATTTTCCCAGAGAACACCTGGCTGTGTCTGGAGACATTTTTGATTGGCATGTTTGTACTACTAGACATTTAATGGGTAGAAACCAGGTATGTTGGTGAACATTTTACAATGTATAAGACAACCCCTGTCCCACCATAGACAATAATCCAGACCAAAATATCAGTAGTCCCAGCATTAAGAAACTCCGCCCAACTCATAGCAACCCTATGTACAACAGAACGCAACACTGCCCGGTCCTGGGCCAACCTCACAGTGATTGCTACGCTGGAGCCCATCAAGGCCGCCACTCTGCCAATCCATCTCGTTGGGGGTCTTCCTCTTTTTCTCCAACCCTCCACTTTACCAAACATGGTATCCTTCTCCAGGGACTGGTCCCTCCTGCCAATCTACACTGAAGTATTCCTGTCAGGACCAACCCTGTACTAATTATCTCTCTTGCCTTCTATACTGGGAGTAAGGAGCTCTGGTAGCGCAGTGGTTATGAGTCCGGCTGCTAACCTCAAGGTCAGCAGTTTGAAACTACCAGCCATTCTGTGGGAGAAAGATGAAGCTTTCTGCTCCCGTAAAGATTTCAGCCTTGGAAACCCTATACAGGGTTGCTATGAATTGGAACCGATGGCATATTAGCACCACCATCATACTGTGAGTGGCTTTAGCAAAGGTCTATCTTTTTTTAACTGCATCCTTAACACAGTTATGATAGAATTTAACTCTTGTGAAAAAAAGAAATACTTGAATGAATGAAGGTACTTTTGGTAATCTCCCCATCACATATCCTTTACCCAGCCCTCATGATTATAGTTGTTACGATCCCCAGAAAACCTCCACATTCACTTGAGATGCAGAAACCGATGATAAGGTTATTTTGTTCCAGTGAAAAATCCCTTTCTGGACAGCCTGGCAAACATGAAGTTCGGCCACCCTACTTGGAGCATGAAGAGGACCTGCCAGGAGGAGTGTACGTAGGAAAACAAAGCAAACTCACATGCTTTCCTTGGCTGCTGACTCATAACCAGCCCAGGGGTGGGGGCCTGGATCAGGTGGGATCTATATGAACAAGGACTACACTATTCATTCAGGGGCCTTGGGAAGTCTCACTATACCTCAGTTTCTCTATTTGTAAGTTACAAAGGTTGGGCTAGGTCCCTAATAGCCTTTTCAGCTCTGACGTTGTAGTGGACCTCTGCAGATTTTGCTTACTCAATATCTAATCCTCCCTCTTGGGGAAGATACACCGTTCCTTCTGTCAGTTCATGTGGTCAGATTGGCTGATTGTATTTGCTACTTGAAGGGTAGGCATGGGAGCCAGGTCTGTAGTGTAGTAGATCATGGTATTGGTTTCCCAGGGACACTGTGATGGTTCAGGAGAAGGCTCATGGCCCAATCCTAGTCAAATAGAGTTCTCCATTTCACTCAGCCCTGAGGTTAAGGCTCAGGGAACATATTGAAGACGGTCCAAGGGAACGGGAGCATATTGAAGATGATCCAATGAGTCTCAGTTTGGGGATTTTTAACTGTTAAGAAAAAAGAACATTTCTTCCAGGAATCCAAAAAAGGCATAGGATATCATTCAGAAGCCTCTAGCAACATCTTGCCAGAGGATGTGCTTGTTAATGGAGGAACCAAGCCTGAAAAGAAGAGTGCCGAGGAAGGGAGAAAACAAGATTGGGTTCTGATGACATTTGAGCCTCCCCTCTACCCAAAACAGCCGTAGCTGAAACTAGTTACCTTTGTATTTCATTACAAGAGCCCCAAATTCCATTCCCCCTTCACTCATTCATTCATTTTCCTTAAGACAGTGCTAGTTAAGTTGATATCACTTTCGATGAAAAAATTCTTGACCAATGCATAAACTCTATCATTCCTTTAAATTGTAATTATACACAGTCAAACACAGAAGGCCACATGTTGTATGTATATGTCTTTGAAATATCCAGAAGAGGAAAATCCATAGCGACAGAAAGTACATTGGCAGTTGCTGGGGCCTGGGGGAGAGGGAAACGGAGAGGGGCCACAAATAGGCATCGGATTTCTTTCTGAGATGATGAAAATTCTGGAGTTAGACAGTGTTGATGGTTGTACAATATTGTGAATGTACTATAGTAAAACTCGAGAAAGCCGGAAACTGCATAAGGCAGAAATCTGTCAGAGAAAGAAAATGCAAATATTTTCCACTGAAATGAATAGGAAAGTGGTAAGAGGCACTCTGTCACAGGTGGGAAACTTGTGAGACTGGGAAAAACAAGGAAGTCCTGTCAACCTCTGGCTTTCACAGGTTTTACTGTAAAGGCTACTGAATTATGTAATTAAAATAGTGAACTTTAAGGTACAGGAATTTGTTCTCAATTAAAAAAATACAATAAAAATTTTAACTGTAGTCACTCAAGAGTGAATAGTCAACAAGAGTAAAATTTTTTTGAACTATAAAGAAAATAGAGACAGATGAAAGAGGAAGTATATCAGTGTACTGGGGATACAGACGAAAAATTTAGACATTGGTTATCAAAAATGGGGGGGAAGCTACAAAGGCATGAAGAGGCTAATTTACAAGCTTTATAAGCTTTATGAGTGTGCTTAGTTTCAAAATGAGGCGGGTAACATAGAATCCCCACTGAATAATTTCCTTGGTTCCCAGTGGATCTGGTGAAAGGGGATGGAGGACAATGGTGATAGGATTTTATGACACAGTTGTGAAAAATTGTTAGCAGGATAATTGTGATTATCACAACTGTAATTATAGAAGATGTGTAACTAAAAGGAGGGAGTAGGTAATCTATCTTTTCAGGAACAGAGGATCCCAGGACCAACAAGGAAGAACATGAGTGGAGCGTGAGATCCCTACCTAGAAAAGTGATGACAGCAGAGCCGGTGACTGTGTGTCTACAGGATGGAGGTTGGCTGACAGAATGTGCCCTTTGGATATTTAAATGAATACATAATTTTTTGTAAGTGTACATCAAATATTCTTGCCTGGTTCATTTGTGAACTATAAAAAGGAAATGAGGAGCCACAGGGAGGAAGTGGGATAAATGTTGTTGCAGGGAAGAGACTGTACTCACTGAGATACAACAAGGTGCAATATATGATCTGCTGAATGTATACCTGATGATCTTGTTTGTAAACCCAAAATCACAATAAAAAGTTTAAAAATAATTTAAAAACAAGAAAGAGGAGGTAATATGGAAACAATTTCTGGCACAATTTTCCTATAAACCTAATAGAGAAAGTCCTTTTTTTTAAAAAAAAAGAAAGAATAAGAGTGAATGGAATCATTTAACCATCTTCATTTCCTTTGCTATGAGAAGTAGAAGTTATTAAAGTAAATACTTCAGAATTGAAAATGCTTTATTTTGGGGAATACAAAAGGTAGTGGAATACAAATGAATGGAACAGACCATACTCTGGTATCACAGAAGAAATGGGCACCTAGATTTGCTTTCCAACTATGAATGGGGATATCTCATGAAGTTAAGACATGATAAGCACAAAACAATAGTTCACTGGGCACTGTGCTCCTTCAACTGATGTAGAAATTCAGAGATGACCAGTGGTGATATCCCTTACACTGTAATATTCATCTCAATGCAGAGTTTCTCCGTTTTATTTACCAGATGACCAGGAATCATATACCAGTTTGGCTGCAACTGTGTCCTCCACGGCCATTCCTATAATTAATAGAAATTTGGTTCACATTTTGTCAGGTCTTACTGAAATAACCCAAACCCCTCGAGAGTCCTGAGATGTCCAACTGTCAAGGCACAAATTGGCCACTTAAGTCCAACCTTAGTTGGCCGTATGCCTGTAACTACGTAGGCAGTAATGTGACTTCGCTTGATCAGCAAGTGTGGACGTAGGACAGGAGGAAACAGGTCTCAAACTGGACTTTCTGGCTGGGTCTGTTAAGCTCCCAGTCTCAACATTTTTATTCCCTACCTCCACCTCTGAAAACCATCTTCTTCTGAGTTTCGTTTAGATCAAAATCAAAATGATTGACTGCTGATACTTGCTATATGTAAATATTGTCTTGTACATTTCAGTCCTTAGCTCAAGCTAAGAGGTGGTGAAGAAACCACATGACTCAGAGAGGTTGAGTCACATGCTTAAGGACACATGCCAGTGAATGACAGAGAAGGGAGCTCAACCCAGCACTGCCCAACTCCAGGGGTTCACGGGCTAAGCCACGACACTAAAACATGTAAATAATTGATCTGAGTGTAAGATTTCCCAATGATTCATCTACAGAGCCTAGTGAATCATTCCTCTTCTGTCTGCTAGCTAGATTTATGTTCTGGTTAGATTAGTGACGAGGGAGCAGTGGTTCTTACCCAAAGACTTGAACACTGTGGTCTTCTCACACTGGGCTGGTTTTAGTCCTTTGATCACTTCCCCCAGCTCAGCAAAGATCTCTGCCTGCGGAACAAACACACAGTGACCTAGGCCAGGCCGTGGAAGTTGGCTATGGGCTGGCTTCTGGAGCTAGCCTAGGGCATCTTGGAACTCGGTAAACGATGAACTTGATAAAAAGTTTTTTTTTAAATCCATTTGTGAAGTATATTATGTCAAGAAGGACACTTTCTCCTGAAATCCTTTTTGGGGTAGCATTTGGCTTTGCGAGACCATGAACACAGAGATCCAAGTTTGTGGCTAGGGAAATTTCCTGCCAAATCATTCTGTGCAGAAATGAGCACTCATTTTGGTAGCCTCTTTCTTGATTCTGATTAAAAAGGAAAAACGAGGCTAAACGTTGGCTTTACCCATAATGCTAGTGTGCTAGTCTGTTGGGAACACTTTCTGATTACACAAGGCTCTCATATCCCTTTCTCACAGCCCACGATGACAGTCCACGCCAATGGAAAACTCCCCCAAACTTCCCTCTCTGGCAAAGGAAAGAGGACAACACATAATGTCACTACCATAATGACCTGGTTACCAATACGGAGCCGGTTTCTCCACAAGGAGACAGGGGTAACCAAGATCTGGAGCAGGACAAACTGAAGAAGAAATGAATGAAACTCTGGATGCTGGCCAGGCCAGTTAGAGCAGCAGGAGAGGAAGCTCACCCCTGACAAGAGAACATCCCCAGACTCCTTCAGGGCAGCCTCCTTGGAATCCACATACAGCACAGCTTGTTTCATAAGTGCATCATCCAGTTCTCTCCAGTCGGGTCTGCTGGCGCCGACAGCTGCAAGACAGAAAAGCAGACTCAGCCCAGAAGTAGCCTTAAGAGATATTAAAAAGTTCTAAAGCATGGAAGAGCATGGGCCCAGGTGAGGAAAAGGAGGTGACATACGACCTAAGGGAGCTTTCAGATTTGGAGCACTTCCTCAGTTCAAGTCAAGCCTTTCCCAATCAGTAAGATGGATACTTTTTAATAGTAACCATGCCTACCAAGCCATGCCTATCATTCTTCCTCTTTCCTATTCCACCTCCTTCCTAAACAGGTTTGAGGTGACTCAGCATTCAATTGCTGAGTGCCTATTATCAGTGGAATGGTTTACACATATGATTTATAATTCTTACAAGTAACACACTGACTTCAGAGTATCCTGTCTGCTGGTGATGGGACCTAACTAATGCCCAACCTGAAACCCCAGGCGTGCAGGGTTTAGGCAAGTAACAGAAGTGAGCAAAGCATATGCAAATAGATCTGATAGCAGTAGGCATGCTTTCTCACAGGGCATCAATTAGTTAGAGCTGAACAATGACCGGTTCACCAAAGGCCTGAATTCTTCTGTGTGCTTCTGACCCTCCCATTCCCAATCCAGTCCCTCTAGTTTGATTTAAAAAAACAAAACAAAAAAACCCACACACTATGGCCCAAAGAAAACATATCTGCTGGCAGGGATCTAGTTCATGGCCAGCCAGTCTCTGGAAATTTCTATAGAGTTTCACACAAATACATGCAGCATTGATATGCCTTCTCACACTGCTGTCCAGTTTTCTCTACTCGTCCCCTCTCCCGCTGTTCTCCCTTGCTCTAAGTTGCAAAGTGAGCTGTTAAGAAATGTCTTTCTTGAAGGCCGTTTCTGTGGGGAGTTCTATAGAACAAAAGTACTAGCTAATGAAACTTGTAAATAAATCATAAGCTGGTGGGAAAAGGTCCAGCTTCTCAGGCTACCCTTTCTCGTTGCACTGGCCGCCCAAGACAACCACTGTTTCTGAGCTGGCGAGTTGTCAAAGGGTTGTGTGAGGCCACTTGGGCAGATGGAGGTGGGCCAGGTGGCAAAGGGAGGGGTCTGACTCAGCCTGGGATCTGGCTTTGCTTTCAGTGGGGTTAGAATGGAACAGTCTACAGATAACCTAAAGGTTGGTGGTTTGAGTCTATCCAAAGGCTCATCAGAAGAAAAGCCTGATTGATTAAATAATCAGTCATTGAAAACTCTATGGTGCTCTGTTCTACTCTGACACAGAATCAACTCAAAGGCCATTGGCAAAATAGGTCAGAAGACTAGCAATGGCGGCAGGTGGAGGAGATAAGCCAAGTGTGGATGGAGGACGTTGGAATTGGTAAAGCTGTAAAGTAAGTAAAATCTCTTTATTGTGTCTAATTTGTTGGTTACACTTATAAAGACACTTTTCTTATGTATATTTGAAATCTCTGGGAATGCAGAAACGAATATATCCCTAAGTTAGGGAAACATAGAGATGCCTTGAATTAAAATGAAGTCAGTCTTTCCTGGTGAGAGATGTCAAGAATGAGAGAAATTCAATATGAGGGACCATCTTGCTGCTGGCTTTGAAGATGGAGGGTCCTCATGGCAAGGAACTGAGAGTAAACTCATGGTAATAGGAACCTCAGTCCTACAACTGGAAGGAACATCAGCTTGCCACCATCCTGTGAGCATTGAAGAGGACCCCCAGCTCTAGATGAGACCACAGCCAGACAACACCTGGATTCCACCCTGGTGAGACTTTAAGCAGGGGACACAGCTAATCCATGTTGGGACTCCTGAACCACTGAAATTGGGAGGTCATGAATTTATGTTATTATTAACTTTAAAAAATAACAGTAATTAATTCAGTCTTGATGAAAATTCTCTGGGAACCCATTTCCCCTTAATTTCCTGAGTCCTTCCAGAAATGGTCTTAGGGTCCTCAAAGCCAGCCCCAACCCACTAGCCAAGTGCATTAACTATGGGCTCCTGCACTTGGCTGCTAACTGAAGGGTTGCAGGTTTGAGTCCACCCAGAGATGCCACGGAAGGAAGGCCTGGGGACCTACTACCATAAGCACTGAAAACGTGATGGAGCACAGTTCTACTCTGGCACAATATGGCTGCCATGTGTTGCAGTCAACTTGATAGCAACTGGTACCTTGGTTTGTTGTTGTTAAATACCGAGGAGTCAGTTCCAACTCGTAGTGACCCTGCACAGGGTTTCCGAGGCTGTCAATCTTTATGGGAGCAAAATGCCTCAGCTTTCTCCCATGGAACCGCTGGTAGTTTCAAACTGCTGACCTTAAGGTTAGCAGCCCGACTCGTAACTACTACGCTACCAGAGCTCCTTGGAATACCCACCTGCAAAATGCGGGCTAAGATACTAACAGCTCCTACATCCTAAGACTGATAAACAGATTAAATAAATCAAATAACGCCTATAGAGACTATATGACAGCACCTGCTAATAATAACAGACTAGTTTTCACTAGATTCCACAAGGCCATTTGAAGGTTTTCAGGGGCCCAGGCACTCTTAATTTTTCGAATTTCTCCCACCTCTTTTCACACAGTAAAAAGCATCCACACGACACATTAAATGTCTTTTTACTGTAGTTGTTTTGGAAAAGTTTTATGATTTGAAATTTTATTAAGAACAAATGACTTCCTTGTCTTTTGTGACTTAAAACCTTACCACGTGTAAGAATTGAGTTGTGGTAGACCATTTGGTATTAACGTTACTTTTGAGATATCCTTAACTAAATATTCATTTCAGGTTTGCAGTTTTCTTCTTGCAGCCAGTGTTGTCTTTCGGGTCTCTCACTTGTCCATGTTGTTGTGTGCTGCAGAGTCAAGTCTGACTAGTAGTAACCTTATATGACAGCCTATAACTGCCCCGTAGAGTTTCCTAGGGTATAATGTTTATAGGAACAGATTGTCAGGTTCTTCTCCCATGGAGGGGCTGGTGGGTTTGTACTACTGACCTTTTGGTTATTGGCCAAGAGCTTAGGCATTGCACCACCAGGGCTCCCAACATGTTTACACACGGAATCAAACCGCTCTGCCATGCAGCCCTTGGTCCTGGGCCTGGCGCAAGAAGCCACTATACTTACCATTGATGTGAGCTCCTGGCTTCACCCATTCACCAAACAATATGGGCTCTGTTGCCATGGTGACTGTGATGATCACATCTGCACCTGTCACAGCCTCCTGGACTGATGAACAGACCCGTACTGCCCCCTGCACAGCATTTGCAAACTTCTCGGCATTTTCTCTCGTGCGGTTCCATATCCTCACCTTCATTGGGAGAATAAGAGAGACGTGGGCACAATATGTTGTGGCTGTTGGCATTAATCCAAAGTCAGCAAGGCTAAACTGAACCTCTCTAGTGCAGAAGCTGTAGTTATCTAGATCATTCCTTATGGTGAATGAACATTTGATAACATCAATCCAGTCACGTGCCTATCTAAATCAATACGAAACCCATTGCGTAAGCTGATTCTGACTTACAGTGACCCTAGAGGACAGGGTAAAACTGCCCATTAGGGCTTCCAATGGAAGCAGACTGCATCTTTCTTCCTGTCTTCTGACGAGCAGCAGGTTTGTGGGTTCACACCTCCCACCTTTCAGCTAGCAACCAAGCACTTACCAACTATGCTACCAGGTTCCTATCCTACTTGAAAATGAGCTTTCTCTACCTCCAGCTCCTTAGATAAGCCCCAAACCAAACTCACTGTCATTGAGTTGATTCTGACTCATATCAGCTCTTAGGACAGAGCAGAATTGCCCCTTAGGATTTCCAAGACTGTAAATCTTTATGGGAGCAGACAGCCTCATCATTCTTCCATGGAGCAGATGGTGGATTTGAACCACTGACCTTGTAGTTATCAGCCCAAAGCTTAACCCGCTACATCAGGAGGATTCCTTTTCCCCATTAGAAAATCTTGGACATTTTTCAGTTCTACCTGAGACAGCTCTGTCATTTGACAGGTACTATGTAGTTTAATGATTAGCAGAGCATGTTCTGTGGTAAAGCAGGCTTAGAACAGATCCTTGCTCTTGTAACTTTCTGTTCCTGAAATTACATAACTTGACTCAGTCTCAGTGTTCATGTAAAATGCCAATGAAACTGGGCAAAGTCAGCATCGACTAGCTGCTGTGTATCTGAGACCCAGTAAAGAGTCACAGGGCTTGTGAGCTTCACAAATAGGCAGTATTTTGTACGGTTAGCTGGATCTCTGAAGTATAAGGAAATAATTAACAATCAGAAGGGCTTGAAGGAGGAATGGTGCAGCAGATAGAAAAGGCCAAGAATGATAAGTAGTTAAGGAGCTCTGGTAGCGTAGTGGTTACAAGTCTGGCTGTTAACCTCAAGGTCAGCGGTTTGAAACTACCAGCTGTTCGGCAGGAGAAAGATGAGGCTTTCTGCTCCTGTAAAGATCTATAGCCTCAGAAACCCTGTACAGGGTAACTATGAGTCGGAACCAATTCCATGGCACATAACCACCACCAACCACCAGAATGGTAGCCATAATTTGAATCCTGTTAGGTACTAAGGGATGGAGGCTTAAGTTTTATGAGGAGCTGGGGACTTTCCAGGAATCTTGGTGGTGCTATGGGTTAGGTGTTAGGCTGCTTGAAAACCATCAGCCGCTCCGCAGGTAAAACATGAGGCTGTCTGCTCCCTCATATTTACAGTCTTGGAAAGCCTATATAGAGTAGGAATCGACTCAGTGGCAGTAGGTTGAGTTTGATTTGAGGGGACTTGCTAGCTTGTTAACAGTTGTCTTGCTGGAAGGGGTTTATCAGCCTCTTAATTAAAAACAAGGGTAAAGAATCTCCCATAAGGAAGTGTAATAAATACAGAAATACATTTTATGTCCAAGTAAGGTCACCATCCTGGTGTTGTACTATAGGATCAGCACTTGACTGTGAATCACAGGTTGGCAGTTCATACCCACCAGCTGCTCCTTGGAAACCCTATATAAGGGGTCGCTATGAGTCAGAACCGACTCGACAGCACTTAACAACAATGGTGGTGGTGGTGTGCTGTGGAGTTGGTTCCAACTCATAGCAACCTGGAATAGGGTTTCCGAGGCTGTAAATTTTTACAGGAGCAGAAAGCCTCATCTTTCTCCCATGGAATGATTGGTAGTTTCGAACTGCTGACCTTGGGGTTAGCAGCCCAACTCGTAACCACTACACAACCAGAGCTCCTTAACAACAATATATCTTTATATAATACACATGAAAAATAAAAATATACTTTACCTGTTTTCAAAGACAAGCAGTTAACATTTTACAATCTTAGATACTTAAATCATTAGTTTTAAAAATACAATTTTAATTAGATATATATATTTGTATATACTAACTTTTCATTTAATGTTCTAACATCATTACCTTTCCAGATTATCTAATTTTTATCTAATATTTGCATAACTGTCTATTAAAAAGGGTACCATTGTTAACTACTCCCTATGGCTGGACATATTGTATATTATTTGCAACTTGGATGGCAATCTTGTTGTTGTTTAGTGCCATTGATTTGGTTCTGACTCATAGTGACCCTGTATAGGGTTTCTAAGGAGCGGCTGGTGAGTTTGAACCTTTCTGGTTAAGTGCTTATCCTATAGCACCACACCAGGGCTCTCTCTCTCTCTCTTTCTTTCTTTCTTTCTATCTATCTATCTATCTATCTATCTATCTATCTATCTATCTATCTACACACACACACACACACACACACACATATTGTCTGTATTTCCAAATGCAGACAGATATATTATTTTTATCATGAAACTACTTAAGCCCCGCCCCTCACATACATATAAAAAAATAAAATGAAAGGCATTTGGAATATTCCTAGAAGAAAGTATGAGTCATGATGAGAGGGAAGGGATACCCCAGAGGGCATGCTCTGACCCATGGCACCCCCATGTGTTACAGAGTGGAACGGCACCACAGGGTTTCCTTGGCTGCCATCTTTATGAAAGCAGATCCCTAGGACTTTCTTCGTTGGCTCCACTGGCTGCGTTCAAATTGTTGAGTGTAAACCATTTGTATCATTCAGAGACTGAATCCATAACCCTAAATACCCAAAGACTCACGGATTCTCCCAGAAAGGCAGTGTCTATAATGGGTATAACCAAACGCCCAAGCCAAACCTACTCATAGCAACCCAATGGGACAGAGAACTGCTGCATACGGTTTCCAAGGCTGTAAATAGTTACAGAAGCAGACAGTCTCATCTATGTCTCCATGGAGTGTTTGGTGGGTTTGAACTGCTGACCTTCCAGTCAACTGCACAATGCTTAATCCACTGTGCCACCAGGTCTCCTTCAAGGATATACTATAGCCTCCACCCGCCTTTTTTTCCCCATGAGAAATGTTTAATAGATAAAGGCAACGCTTAAGAAAAGAAATACAGGTAAACTGACTGCAAATCACAATGTGAGTTGGGAAGTTGAACCCCTAGATTCCTGTGTCCACTCAACAGATACCAGTTGTTTGCCTTCAACCCTGCACTTGGATACAACACTGGACAAGACAAAGTGTGTGTCCCCCTGTAGATTACACCCCAGCGGGGGGAACTAGGCGTAATCACAGGTTAGATAGTTAGCATTTCAGAGTGTTGCACACTAACCGGAGGCCCTTAGGTGGCACCTATAGTTTAGGTGGTGCTGTAGGATAAGCACTGGACTACTAACTTAGAGGTGGGCATATCAAACCCATTAGCCACTTCTTAGAAATCCTATACAGGGTTGCTATAAGTCAGAACCGACTCAATGACACTTAACAACAACAACAATAAGTCAACCTAAAGTTTGGTGGTTTGAACCTATCCAGAAGCTCCACAGAATAAAGGCCCGGTGATTTGCTTGCATTATGATTAAACTCACTTCCATCAAGATGATTCCGACTCATAATATAATCCTTTAATTAGCTAAGTAGATTAGCTGTATACCCTGTGAACTGAGAAACTGGAAAGAGGTGACCCGGGCCTTCCAGCCAACTCTTCCCCTCCAGTGGGACTACTGGGTAAGCCATTAAGGTGGAAGAATGGCCTAGATCGGACTTCTGACCTAGTATTTCAAAATAACCCAAGTTGCATGTGACAGGGTACTCCCTTCATTCTCCCCCAAACCCCCTGGACTTACCTCCTTAAAGGAGAACTGCTCTGTGAAGATCTCATAGTGGCTGAAGGCCTGGACCCCAGCCCCAAGGATGCATAAAACTTCACTGTCAGGGCGCTTCAAAAACTGTTTGAGAGACATGAGACAGAGAAGTTCAAAAGAGGCATTAGCGGCCAAATGAAAGGAGAAAAAGACAGAGTTTGAATATCAAGAGCTCTCGAGCAATTAGTTCCACTTGTGTTTCAGTTCCCCTCCATGGAGTTGGGAAGGAAGGAAGAAACCTTTATTGAGCACCTAATATATGTCCTTTGATATCTGTTGTCTCATTTAGTTCAGATGGTGGCCCTATGAACTGATGGCTGTTACCAGTTGCCATGACTCATGACAATCCTCTGCATGGTGGAATGAAATACTGCCCAGTCCAGAGTCCTCCCCATGAAAGGCTTTGTGCTTGAGGGATACTGGCTGGGAATAATCATACCAGGTCTCCTGCATGTTGTTATTGTTGTGGTTGTTAAGTGCCATCGAGTTGATTCCAGCTCAAAGAGATCCTGTCCTAGGGTTTCTGAACCGCTGACGGTGCCACACACAGCATGGAAGGTGAGAATTCTACCATTGCCCTTTCATAGCAGGATTGCTCTTGCTATTATGTGTCATTGTAAGTCTTTGTGGGAGCAGAAAGCCTCATCTTTTTCCTGAGGAATGGCTGGTGGGCTTGAACCACCAATCTTGTAAGTCACAATCCAGTGCTTATCCTACAGAGCCACCATGTTCCCATAGTAGGCTTTGTTGTTGTTATTAAGTGCCGTTGAGTTGGTTCTGACTCATAGCGACCCTGTATAGTGTTTCCGAGGGGCAGCTGCTGAGTTTGAAACGCCTACCTTTTGAGTTCACATTGGCCTTGAGGTCGAAATGTTTATCCTATGGTGCCACACCAGGATTAGGATTGTTGTTATTGTTAAGTGCCATCTAGTTGATTCTGATGCATAGTAACCCTGTACAGGGTTTCCGAGGAGCAGCTGGTAGGTTTGAATTGCATTGGTGTGGTGGTAGCTATATGCTGTGGAATTGGTTCCGACTCATAGCAACCCTGCATAGGGTTGCCGATGCTGAAAATCTTTACTGGAGCAGAAAACCTCATCTTTCTCCCATGGAATCACAGTTAGCTTCCAACTGCTGACTGTGAAAATAGCAGCCTGATTTGTAACGACTATGCTACCAGGGTTCCTTTGAAGTGCAATGTTGTTGTTAAGTGCCATGGAGTTGGCTCTGACTCATAGCAACCCTGTGTAGGGTTTCTGAGGAGCCGCTGATGAGCTTGAACCGCCAACCTTGTGGTACAAAGTAACTTTTCAGTCTAGCACATTAACCCACAGCGCCACACCAGGTCTCCTGAACAGCATTAGTGACCTATTGTTATTTTACCATAAGCATGCACATAATTAAAAATGTATGTATGAATCTGCTAGATTTCTCATTTAAACAAAGAATTTGAAATTTTGTTCTGTTTGTATTCATCAAGGCTTTTCATGGTCTGGCCCTCCATGCCATGTCCCCCTGTGCTTTGTGGCTTCTTTGCAGTTCTTCAAGTACAATTGTCTCCTTCAGCCACAGGGCTTTTGCACAGGTTCTTTCCTCTGCCCAGTAATGCTTTCCCCATTGCCTCTCACAAGTAGCTCCTACGAGCCTTTATGTCTCTGTTCAAATATACCTTTTTCAAGACAAGCTGCCCTTAATCCTTTAGACTACATTGAACTCACTGTTCCACACTTACATAGCACTTCACACCTTTGATTCATGTGATTTCAGATGTGCTGGCGTAACGTCTGGATTACTGTCTGTTTCTTCCACTGTACCCCACACACTGTCTGGCTTTGCTCACCATACCATGTCCCATGTTGAGCACAAGACAAGACATGTGGTGGGCACTCAAATTTTGGTGACTAAATGCATGCATGCCAGGATAAACTGTTATATGTTATTACCTTAAAGGTATGACACAGTCCCCAAAAGAAACCCAAACACAAAATAGTGACAGTATCAATTTGACTCCAAGTCTTCTGAACATCCAATCCTTCTCCCAAATGCCCAAGTTGAAAGAAAAGCGGTGGAAAAGAAAACATTCTAACATCAACAAGGTAAAAAGTAAGAAGACTTTTGTTCCTTATTGAAAGAGCCCATCTGAGCTGAGTCCCTGGGAATGATGTTCTCAAGTTTCAGCCGAAAGTGAACTCTTCAGCCTAAACTCTTCTATAAATAAGTTCAGGTTTTTACCAATGCAACAAAGCAAAGTGTAACTGAGAGTAGGGTCTAGAATGGTATAGTTCCCAAAGCTAGGGTGGATATCAGAATCAACCAGGGACTAGAAAAAACAAACTAGTTTTCAAGGTCCCAGTCAGAGACTTTGATTCAGTAGTTCTGGGAATCTGAACTAAAGGAAAAGAAAAAGTAAATTTCCCAGGGGACACTGCTGTGTAGATAGGGTTGAAAAAGACTGAGTTATCTAATATCAGGCAGTCTTGGAAGACCCCACCACTACCAGGTTATATGACTTCAGAACAACCCAAGTCTCCATTTCCTTATGTGCTAATTGAAGCCAATCATACTTGCTCTGCCTTCCTTACAGAGACTCCAAGTTAAATAAAGACAATGGGTTCGAGATGATTTTGAAAAAGGCCAAAATCTTGTACAAATGTAAGGCAGGGCTGTTAAGTCAGTCTGTTCTTAAGCTACCAAAGAGAAAATTGCAAGAATTTTCTTGATTATTTCAATCAGAGTTGGGTCAGGGCATAATTAAAAACCAGTTCCCCGAGGTGGGTACTACAGTATACTCCCGTCATATACAATTACCAGAATTAATCCTCACAGTCTTCCCTCCCCATCATGTATTTAGAAAACCTTAAGATACGTACTCACAAGCTGAACACTTTGGTCAACATGCTTCCTTTATGCGTCAGCCTTGTATGCCAATGTCTCAAGACCTTGTACATTTAGTGCTAAGGTCCAGACTCCAATTTTCCACAGACACCCAGTTTTCAAAGTCTCTTCTTCTTAACTCTAACTTTCCCCAAATACTTTTTCTTGTAGGGTACTCTGACGTATTTCTTACAGGAAGAATGCTTGAGAAGTTCATGGAACACTGCTTACAAAACTCATTGTCTTAGCTATCTAGTGCTGCTCTAACAAATACTACAATTGGGTAGCTTTAACAAACAGAAATTTATATTCTCATAGTTTCAAACAAAAACCAAATTCACTGCCATCAAGTTGGTTCCTTCTTAAATTGACCCTAGATGATACAGTAGAACTGTTTGTTAAGGTTTCTGAGACTATAAATCTTTATAAGGAGCAGATCACTTCATCTTTCTTCCACTGAGAGGCTGGTGGCTTGGAACTGCTGACCTTTGGTTAGCCATCCAATGCTTATCCCACAGCGCTACGAGGGCTCCTTTATCATAGTTTGTTGTTAAATGTCGTCAAGTCGATTCCGACTCATAGCAATCCTATATAGGGTTTCCAAGGAGTGGCTGGTGAGCTTGAACCGCCAACCTTGCAGTTCAAACTGACCTTGCAGTCCAGCACATTAACCTGCAGCTCCCTCTCATAGTTTGGTGGTGGTGGTGGTGGTGGTGTTCCATGGAGTTGGTTCTGACCTATAGCAACCCTGTATAGATTTCCGAGGCTGTAAATCTTTACTGGAGCAGAAAGTCTCATCCTTCTCCCATGGGACAGCTGGTAGTTTCAAACTGCTAACTTTGAGGCTAGCAGTCCGACTTGTAACCACTATGCTACCAGAGCTCGTTCCTCACAGTTTAGGAAGCTAGAAATCTGAACTCAGAGCACAAGCTCTATGGTAGTGGATTTGTTCTCTGCTGCCTCTGGGGAAAGGTCCTTCTCTTTTCAGGATCTGCAGGCTTGGTGTTCCTTGGCTCACTGGGCATAGACAGCATCTATTTTCCCCAACTATGTTTCTTCCATTGCTTGTTTAGTCTCTTTTATATATCAAAAGAAAACAGCCTACACTAATAAGTTAGCATTAGCATAACAAAGAAGACCCATTCTCAAATGGGATTATAACCACAAGTACATTGTTACTTAGTTAAGACTCATAGTGGCCATGCGTAGGGTTTCCGAGGAAGAGCAGCTGGTGGGCTTGAACACTGTGGTTAGCAGTCCAGTTCTTATCCTACAGGGCCACACCAGGACTCTGACCACAGGCATGTTGTTGCTGTGTGCTGTTGAGTCAGTTCCGACTCATAACAACACTGTATAGGGTTTCCAAGGAGTGGCTGGTGAATTTGAACCACTGACCTTTCAGTTCAAACCAACCTTCAGGTGGAGTGATTATCCTGAGGCACCACTAGAACGTTTTCTAAGAGGTTAGGGTTTACAATACCTGTATTTGTGGAACACAACTCAAACCCTAACACTCACCATTGTCCTTACTGGCTGTTCTTTCTGCAAGGAGTGTTCTCATACCACATTTTTGGTATGGTTCACTCACTCACCTCTTTCAGTCTTAACTTAAATATTACATATTAGTCAGGTCTTACCTAGATAATTTGAAATTTCACTTTCTCCCCAATACTGTGTGTTCCATCTTCTGTTTCAATCATTACTGTATCCCTATTATTTAGAACCAGGTCTAGTGCATGGGAGGAGCTCAGACCATACTGGCTGAATGAATACATGAATCTGGCTTGGATCTGTTCGACTCATCCCTCTGCCATTTGTCCAGCACTGGCTCTGGTCTACAAGCTGACCACATTGATTTACTGGGAGCAGTGTGGTACAGGGACAAGGAAGCCGTTCTAGGAGTCACAGGGGGCAAATCTGAAACTCTTGCTCTTCCATTTTCTGCCTATGTATTCCTACACAATTTACAGAGCTTCTCTGAGCTGCAGTGCCTATACCTGGTAAACAGAGGTAATCATATCCACTTTGCAAGGTTGATGATGAGCATGAGAAATAATGTATGAAAAGTACCTGGAACCTGGTGATGTTCAATAAGTAGTAGCTATTAATTTCTGCCAGTGTGTCATACTGTGGTGGCTAGGATGCTGGAAACTATTCTATTGATATTTCAAATATTAGTACTGTCATCACCCATAGTAGACAGATTTCTATGGCATTTCGACCTTAAGACTAGAAAGAAAGGCCTGGTGATCTACGTTCAAAAATTAGTCAATGGGAGCCATATGGAGCACACTAGAATACTGCCCAATACAGAAGATAAGCCCCTAGGTTGGAAGGCACTCAAAATACACAGTGGTCACTAAAATGGACTCAGGCTCACCAACAGTTATGAAGATGAGTTGGAGGTGACTATCTGACAATTAACAGTAATAATGAAGGTCATGACTTATTATGCTCATCTGAAACCCCACATTTAGTCTCCGTAACTCCAGCTCTGTTCAAAGTAAGACCAACAGAGTTTCCTAATTTCTACTTTAGTTTCTTGAACTTGAGCTCCCAAGCCCCATCCATTGCCACTAGCTCACCCTGACCACTAATCTTACCTTGGTAGCAATGGCAGATACGGCAGCAGTTCTCTTTGCAGTTATGACATTTCCATCCATGACCTTGGAAAGAAGGGAGACAGTGAGCAAGGGACACCCCGTCTACTATGGAAGCTGAGGAAAGCATCACTAAAGGAATTGCCCTAGGAAATTTTACAAAGAGCCTGGGCTTCATGTCAAACCTGGATCCAATTACTCCACTTAATGAGATTTGCAACTCTGAACAAAGAACTTAATCTCTAAGTATTGGTTTCCTCACCAGTGAAAATAAAGATCCTGCCAACCATTATTGTGAGCATTAAATGCTATGGCACATATGAAAACATCTCGTACATGCCAACCTTCAAGAACTGCCCATTTTGTTTTCTTGCCCTGAGATTCCTAAATCATTGAATTAAGGAGGATAACGTTAAGTCATTTGACTTCTGCGCAAGGGCAGTGGAACTTGGCTATGTTGCCACTGTGTGCCATTGAGTTCATTTCAACTCATAATGGTCCTATAAGACCCTATAAGAACTGCCCCATAGGGCTTCCTAGGGGGAGTGTGGTGGCTCCATATGACTGTGAATCACAAAGTCTGTGGTTCTAGCCCACTAGTCACTCCATGGGAGAAAGATGAGGCTTTCTGTTCCCGTGAAGATTTAAAGCCTCAGAATCCCGATACAGTATTGATATGAATCAGAACTGACTCGACGGCACTTAACAACAACAATTTTTACAGAAGCAGATCATGAGGTCTTTTCTCCCATGGAGCACTTGGTGAGTTCCAAGCACAGACCTTTCAGTTAGCAGCAATGAACTTTTTTACACCACCATGGCTCTATGAAACGCTACCTCACGGGTTGTCAATTTCTGTTGAACATACAGGGAGCTTTTTGAAGTTAGAAGTTAGATGCTCGGGTCCAACCTTTGGATTAACTGAATCTGAACTCTAGGGGTGGGACCTAGACATCCTCGGTTTTAAAAGCTTCCGGATCAGTCTGATTCATAATGAGGATTGAGAATCATTCTAGATAATGACAATATTCATGCTTTGCACAATTATTTTCTGCTTGTAAGTTATTCATCTCAGTGGATTCTTCCCAGGGAGCTATGATTATTCCCATTATATGTGAAGAACTGAGTTACTTGGTTACTGAGAAGATTCAGCAAATATCTAAATCTCTGACACTCAGTCAAAGCCTGGCTGGTCCCACTTTTCCCGGGGAACCACTGTTGGTAGGTAGTGTGGATGACACCTCCACTGGTTGAGTAAAGGTTGGGGAGAGTTAGAGACCCTTCCTAGAGGACTAACAGTCGATTCCTAGCAGAGCTAGAAATTCATGGGGATAAAGAAGCGGGCCCTAAGGACTCATGCGTGGTGCTGGTAGAGTTAAGAAGAGTCTCTGACAATGTCTCAACTGCCTGGTGTTAGAGGCAGTTTGAGAGGCCACAGAGCACAGAAGTTAAGGACACACATTCCACAGCCAGACAGAACTAGGATTGATGTTTGGCCATTCACTAGCCAGCTGTGTGACTTGAAGCAAAGTGGCTCGACCAACGGAAGCTTCTATGAATCCAACAGAAATGGGGTGTGGGGACAAAAAAACTCCCACAGAGGCATGTTGTCAGAGGTGAATTCGGTGGTCAAGGTCTCCTGCCTAGCACATGATCAACGCTCAATAAGTGGCAGTTAAAAATGCAATGCTGTTGTTAAGTGCCATTGAGTCAGTCCTGACTCATAGTGACCCTGGTGAGCTTGAACCACCGACCTTGAGCTTCAAACCAACCTTGCAGTCCATAGCATTAACCCACAGCACCATAGAACATGTAAAACTGATTGGAATTAAATACAGTTACTAAAATTAAAATGCTGAACGCCTTGACACAAAAGAAGACAATTTTATTTTAAACCCCAAGAAAACAAGAAGGTCGTAGAGCACAGTGTTAAAGCAGATAGCTCCTGGAGTTAGACCAACTAGATGTGAAGCCCAGGTATGTCACTTCTCAGGTATGTAAACCTGGGTCAGTTGCATATACTTGCTCTGAGGCTCAGTTTCCTCATTTGTAAAATGGGGGTGATAACAGTCAAGTATTAAGACAGTCAATACATGTAAAGAGTTTAGAAAAGTACCTCACACATAGTAAGTGATGAGTAAAATTGAGATTCTATTTTTGTGGAGCCGATGATCAGATGTTGTAACAGGTCACTGTGTACCCCACAGAAAAGACTCCTAGGGTTTACAGAACACCCCCTAAATTCCATGTTGACAGAGATTCGGTAAATAATAGTTCCCCTGGCTACTGGGTATACACTGGGTCTAGTGGTCTGGGGAGTGGGTGCAGTTTACTGGACATTTGATGAGAAACAACACTTTTGCTCTCTGGACTCAAAGGAGCAGGGCATTCTGGGGCTGGGCTATGCATCTTCAGTCGACCCCAGAAACAGAAGCACAGTGACATACAACCTTAACCTAAGGAGAGCCATGTGTGGTTACAATCAATACTCCTGCTCACAGAGAACTAACTTCTGAGTCTACCTGGGACCCATGGACCCTTCTCCACCCCAGGGCAGGGAGTTACTTACCGCCAGCAGGTTGCCATTGCTGGGCTCAAAGAGTAGCACCGTGGCCTGGTGGGAGGGGACGGTGGAGGTGGTGCTGTGGCCCTCATAGAAGGTGACCAACTTGGTGGTCAAGGCATCTTCTGCTGCACTGTAGGCAGGCATGACTCCCAAGAAACTACAAAGGGAATGAAAATCACTTCAATCCTCCCCCAGAAATCCTGTTGTTGTTGTTAAGTGCCTGTGTAGGGTTTCCGAGGAGCGGTTGGTAAGTTTGAGCCACCGACCTTGCAGTCACTGAACTATAGCACCACACCAGAACTGGGAGCTTTCAAATTCCCAAACACCTCCTGTTGTCTTTCTAGAAGCATGTCCCCGCTGGTCTCTCCATTTTGCCTTGCCCTTCCCTCATGCATAGGAATAGTATAGTACAAGGAGGCTTCAAAAAATTCGCAGAAACATTCCATTATATTTCCATTTCATTTTCCATGAGCTTTTTGAAGCCCCCTCCTATACTCACGAATCTGCCTCTGGATGAGAAAATCCAGATTGGACTTCCAACTCCGCCACTTACTCGCTGTGTAACCTTGGGTGAATCATTTAATTTTTCTGAATCTCAATACCTACGTGGACAGTGTAATGTAAGGTTGGTGGTTCAAACCCAGCAGCCGCTCCTCGGAAACCCACAACAGGGTTGGTGTGAATCAAAACCAAGTCTTAACAACACCACTACCTGCAAAGTGTCCACTTAGCACAGCGGGAAGACAAGTTCTCAAATAGCAGCTATTATTAGCAATGATTGGCCATCTCTTCCTTTCCTTCGCACCCCTCCTCTGCCCCCTCCCGGTTTCTCTGGCCGGGCCCCTGCCTTCTCACTCACCCTCTGTGCTTGGTCACTGGCACCACAGTACGCACAGGCTGCACGACCCCTCCGTCGGAGCCGCTGGAGAAGTTGGCCAGAGCCGCTTCCAGAGGCGGTATGAGGAGGCTGGAGCTGCCGAGGTGGCGCTGCACCTCGGCGGAACGCAGGAAGACAGGCGTCGAGCTCATCTCGCCGCCGGCTTTCTAGCCTCAACCCTGGCCCAACGCTTCCCCAAGCAATTTATGAGCGCTCCCCGCAGCTTGCCGGAGTCCCCTACTCTGCAGGGCCCCAGCTTCCCGGGAGGAGAAGGCGGAGCCACACTGCCCCCGCCCCTCCAGCCTGTCTTTACCCTCTCCACCCACGAACCCCTACTACTGCCCCCCTGCAGGTGAAGGGGGAGCCGGGTCCCCTCCACCGACTGTTCCCCACGACTGGAGTCCAGGCGGCTGGCTGGGAATTGGTGTTCTTGGGTCTACCTTCTCAATTCCTGTTATTAGCGCCAACCATATACTTTGCAAGATGTGTCAGTAAAGAACTTGGGTGACCTATCTCTTCCTCCGCCCCCTTCGATATTTGATATTTGTTGTTTCTGTCTCCTTCCCTGGGAAAGAAGAGACTGGGAAGATGGGGCAAACGATGGCTGGGCACCCTTGTAATTAAATTACTGCTTTCTGCTGGGAGATCTTCGTTGAAAGGAGACAGAGGGTTATTAAGAACCATTTTCTTTTCAATTCTGCCCCCATCTGGAGACTTTTATCTGAATCTCTCCTCTGGCTGATGACTGCTTTCAGTGAAGGTTCCCCCCAGGGCAAACAGCAATTTGCTATAAGAGGGATGTTCCCAGGGCAAGGTACCATGGCCTGGGTCAACCCAAAAGCTAAAATATGTAAGACAACTGAAATCTTCTTCAAGATATTTATACTCGAGATGGGGAAATAAGATGGTATAAACATGGAACGGTAACTAACAATGCAACACAATGTTACAATAGTTGTGGTTGTTAAGTGCCGTCGTGGAGTCGATTCCAAGGAGCAATTGTTGAGCTTGAACCACCAACCTTGCAGTTTAAATGACTTTGCAGTCTGATGCGTTAGCCCACAGCCACACCAGGACTCCTTTAAAATAGTATTAACCCAATAATATAAATGAACTTGAAGTTTGTTTACTATGAGGAACCCTGGTGGCATAGTGGTTAAGTTCTCCATTGATAACCAAAAGTTGGAGGTTGGAAACCACCAATCACTCAGCAGGAAAAAGAGGTGACAATCTATTTTCAAAAAGATTCTTGCTGTTCTTAAGTGCATTGACTTGATTCTGGCTCATGGTGACCCTGTTAAGGATTTCCAAGAATTTAAATCTTTGCAGAAGCAGAAAGCCCCATCATTCTCAGATGGAGTCACTGCACTCCCTTTCATAAAGATTGTTGTGAGGTGCCATCGAGTCACTGAGTCATACCATTGACTCATAGTGACCCTGTGCGCAACAGAATGAAACACTGCCCCCGCCCCTCCTCAAGTAAACGCTGCTATACTTGAGCCCATTACTGCTGCCACTGTGCCAATCCATCACGTTGGAGGTCTAACTCTTTTTCACAAATCTTCCACTTTACCAAGCATAATGTCTTTCTCTAGGGTTTGGTCCCTCTTGATAGTAGCTCCAAAGTATGAGAGACTAAGTTTCACCATCCTGGCTTCTAAGGAACATTCTGCTATACTTCTTCCAACACAGATTGGTTTGTTCTTTTGGCAGTCCATGGTACTTTTAAGATTCTCCTCCAACACCATAATCAAATGCATCAATTCGTCTACAGTCTTCCTTATTAATTGTACAACTTTCACATTCCTATAAGGTTATTGAAAGTAGCCTGGCTGGATCAGGCATACCCTAGCCCTTAAACTGACGTCTTTGCTCTTCAACACTTAAAAGAGGTCTTGCGCAGCAGATTTGCCTACTGCACTAAGTCATTTTATTTGTTGACTGCTGCTTCCATTTACACTGATGGTTGATCCAGGTAAAATGAAGTCTTTGACGACTTCAATCTTTTCTCCATTTATATGGATGTTATTTATTGGTCCAGTAGTGAGGATTTTTGTTTTCTTTACATTGAGATGCAACCCATATTGAAGACTGTGGCCTCTGATCTTCATCAGTAAATATTTTAAGTCTTTCAACAAGTAAGGTTGTGTCACCTGCGTATCTTCCTCCAATCCTGATACCACAGTCTTCTTCATATAATCCAGCTTCTCCGATTATTTGCTCTGCATACAGATTGAATAAATATGGTGAAAGAACAAAACCCGGCACACACTTTTCCTAATTTTAAACCATTCAGTGTTCCCTTGTTCTGGTTGAACAACTGCCTCTTGGTCTAGGTACAGGTTCCTCATGAGCACAATTAAGTGTTCCAGAATGGTCCATAATGTTGTCCATAACGTGTCAAAATCCACACAATCGAAAACCTTTGCATAGTCAATAAAGGACAGGTAAACATATTTTTGGTAGTCTCTGCTTTTAACCAAGACCTATCTGATGCCAGCAATGAGAGCCTTCTTTCAATGCCCTCTTCTGAATCCAGCTTGAACTTCTGGCAGTTACCCATCACTGTACAGTTGCAACCTTTTAAAAATTATCTTTAGCAAAATTTTTCTTGCAAGAGATATTAATGATATTATCTAAAGATTTTCACATTTCATTGGGTCACCTCTCTTTAGAATCTGCAAAAAGATGGATCTTTTCCAATCAGTTGGCCAGATCTTCCAAGCTGTCTTCCAAACTTCTTGGCATAGATGAGTGAGTGCCTCCAATGTTGCATCAGTTTGATGAAAGATTTCAATTTGTATTCCATCAATTCCTGATTCCTTGTACTTTGTCATTGCCTTTCAGTGTGCTTTGGACTTCTTCCTTCAGTATCATTGGCTCTTGATCATATGCTACCTCTTGAAATGGTTGAATATCAACCATTTCTTTTTGGTACAGGGACTTTGTGAATACCTTTCAACTTCTTTTAATGCTTTCTGCATCATTCAATATTTCCCCCATAGGATCCTTCAATATTGCAAGTTGAGGGTTGAAATTTTTCTTTAGCTCCCTCAGCTTGAGAAATGTTGAGCATGTTCTTCCCTTTTGGCTTTTTAACTCTAGTTCTTTGTACATTTCATTCTAGCATTTGACTTTGTCTTCTCAAGCTGACATTTGAAATTTTCTGTTCAGCTCTTTTACCTCCCCATTTCTTCCATTTGCTTTAGCATCTCTATTCTGGAGAGCAAGTTTTAGAGAATCTCTTTTGACATCCATTTTGGGTTTTTTTCCTTCTTTCTTGTTTTCTTAATGACCTTTTCTTCTTGTAGGATGTTCTTGATGTCATCCCATAACCCTTACAGTTTTCAGTCATTAGTGTCTAATATATCAAGTCTGTTCTTGAGATAATATCTAAATTCAGGTGGGATATGTTCAAGGTTATATTTGGGCTGTTGTAGACTTGTTTTAATTCTCTTCAGCTTCAGCCTGAACTTGCATATGAGCAATTGATGGTCTGTTCCAATCTGCCCGTGGCCATGTTTGGGCTGATGATATGGAGCTTTCCCACTGTTTCTTTCCACAGATGTAGTCCATTTGATTTCTGTGTATTCCATGTGGTGAGGTCCATGTGTATAGTTATCTTTCATGTTGTTTAAAAAAGATATTTTAAATGAAGAAGTCACTAGTCTTGAATAATTCTATCATGTGCTCTCCAACTTCATTTCTATCACCAAAGCCACATTTTCCAATGACTGATCCTTCCTCTTTGTTTCCACCCTTTTTCATTCGAATCGCCAGTAATTATCAGTATGTTTTGATTGCATGTTTCATTAGTAACTGAAGAATTTGATAGAATTCTTCAATTTCATCATCATTGGCTTTAGTGATTGGTGCATAAATTTAAATAATATGTGTGGTATTAACTGTCTTCCTTGTAGTCGTATGGATCGTATCCTACCACAGACAGTGTTATACTCCAAGACAGATCTTGTGATGTTCTTTTTGATCATGAATGCGACGTGATTCCTCTTTAATTCGTCATTTCTGACATAGTAAACCATGTGATTGTCATATTCAAAGCAACCAATACCAGTCCATTTCAGCTCACTAGTACCTAGGATATCAATGTTTGTGCATTCCATTTCATTTTTGACAACTTTCATTTTTCCTAGATTCATACTTCATACATTCCATGTTTCTATTATTAATGAGTGTTTACAGTGGTTTCTCCTCATTTTGAGTTTATGCCCCATCAGCAAAAGAAGAGTCTAAAAGCTTACTGCATTCATGTCATCATGGTCAACTCTACTTTGAGGTGGCGGATCTTCCCCAATCATATTTTCTGTGCCTTCCAAACTGAGGCGCTCATCTTCTGATCATACTCTTCATCATCTTCTGATCAACTTTATCATGTTTCAATATTCAGTATTCTGTTGTTATCTGACAGGGTTCCATTTGTATTCATAAGGTTTTCAGTGGTGTGGTGCTGTGGGCTAATGTGTCAGACTGCAAAGTCGTTTGAACTACAAGGTCAGTGGTTCAAGCTCACCAGCTGCTCCTTGGAAACCCTATACAGGGTCACTATGGGTCGGAATCGACTCGACGGCATACAACAACAACAACA